GGGGGGGGGGGGGGCGGGGGCGCCGCGTCACAAATGGTGCCGTGGTTGTGGAGGGCGCCGCGGCTGCGTGTCAGGGCTGGGCGGTCGTGCTTGGGAGCCACAGGGCCGGGCAAATGGCGTGCAAACTATGCTGGCAGTGTCTGCTCTGCTTTCGGTACGCGTGCGGTCATCATCAGCCAGCCTTGCGCCGCTTACTGTCAAAGACGCGTGCTCACACACACACAGACACACACATAACCCCCCCCCACACACACACGCGCGCCACACATCACACACACACACACACACACACACACACACACGTGCGCGCGCACACACACACGGCTACACCTGCGACTGCAGGTCCAGGGTCAGCCGGTGCTGGTGCGGTTTGTGGAGTCAATTCTTCAACGGGAGTTCAGCTCTGAGGCCCCCCCGCCGCCCGCCGCAGACGACGCCGGCGGCTGGTCCTCAGAAGCCCAGGTGCGGGCGGCTGTGATTCGCATTCAAACATGACGTATTTGCTGCGCCTGCGTGGGCTTCGTCCTCTGTTCAGTGCGGGAGAGATCAGGCGAGCGGTGGGGTCGTGCAGCAAAGGATGTCGCTTGTGCCTTGATTCGCCTGCGGCTCCGACCAGGGAAGGCTAGCAGCAACCCTGCATGCTTGCGTCCAACATCGCTGCACGCGGCTTTCCCCCTCCCACCGCGCCGCCCCTCCCAGGGCCAGAGCCAGCAGCGGCGCGCGCCGACGGTGGAGGAGCGCCGCATGTGGCGCGGCAGCCAGTACTGGCTGGCGGGGGCGGCGGCGGCGGTGGGCGCCTATGTGGCGTTCAGTGGGCACTACATCGACCTGAGTGTGGTGGAGGTGGACGAGGACGAGGGGGACGACGGGGAGGAGGAGATGCAGCGGCACCTGGAGGAGCAGGAGGAGGAGGAAGAGGACGCCGCCGGCGACGAGTAGCGCCGCGGGCTTGATCGCCCGCGAGCGGGGGCGGGGGCGCAATAGGCTACGGGGCGGCGGCGATGGTGGCGCAGTGGTTTGTTATGGCTTGCGCATGTAAACTTCTGCGCTGGCGTGGGGCTGCGGTTGTGTACACTCTCTTCCTGGCACTGCTGCGAAACGAACAGTGAATGAGGGGACCCCTCCCAGCCAACTGTGCTATTGCGGCGCGCGCTGCCGGCACGCGTCCTGAGATCCAGCTGCACAGCAGATCCCAGATTCTATCAACAATAAACATAATGCTGTACCAACCAGCCTCACTCCACCTGCGTGGTGCGCCACACTTTGTTAGCACTCTTATTGGGCATGGTGACTAATGGTCGCTCGGGGTGTGTGGGTTTCTGCCAGCTCGACCATGTCGTCGGCATGAGCTGCCTTGTATAATCCTAGACTCTAGCGCTTTATTTGCGCCAGCGCCACGGCCCTCTGTTCAATCGCGGCACGTGATCTAATCAACGGCTGGCGCAAACGCTGGTGAAATTTGTCACGAAAGAGTTCCGGATCTTCAGCGAGTTTCCAGTCAGCAGGCAAGCGTCTAGGCTCGGTGTGCGCTTTGGATGCCAATGGGCGATTCTGAGCTGGTCGTGATACCCATTGCTGACAGTTGGATGGGTATCTATGGATCCTGAATGCATTTGTTTAGGCCTGATGGCCGACTGTGGTCCTGGGTGACTGCTACGGGCGGCGCAGCGCACTACCCCGTCCGCCGGCCGTGCCGCCGCACTTGCTTGCGAGGGTGTCAACCCTGGGGTTTCCCCGTGGCCCGCACCCACTTTCGCGGAGCTCCTCAGGCGCCTGATCGCCCCCGCCACGCGTCCGTCCCCTGCCTGCCGAGCGCAACAACCCTTGTCGCGCCCTTGACTCAGGCGAGGGTTTGCTTTGGCATGCCCCCCCCCCCCCCCCCCC